CTCTTCCTCCGTTGTACTGAAGAGCCAGAACGGCATAACGGCACCATTTCTTCTCGGTTGGCAACTGATATAAAAGCAAATGGAAAAGCTAATGTACGTGAAACTAATGTACATATGAACGTATTTTATCATGCTACTGTCAGATAGAGAGGTTGATAACTCACCGGCCCGCGGGTAGTCGTTTTCGTGAAAGCAATCGTTCCTCTTCCGGACGATAGCGATTTTGCGGAGAGGAACATCTCCGTGAGCGCCCTCCTAAACTATCGAACATTTTCCGAAAGATGCACCAAAACGTGAATTAAAAATTTTTTTCGGAAATACTTTTACTTCGGTTCCTCTCCATTATTATACTTTGGCAATGCTGATGCAAGTTCGCCTAGATTAGTAAAGGTAACAAATTTTGTGATTCCCTGTCAGGATCCTTTTGCCCTTACAGAAGTAACGGGCAAATGCATGTATCCGGACCCTCCCTATTTGCCCCCGCATCTAGAGCCCCCGTGGAAGGCCAACCATGGGTCTTATGGTTAGTTCCCGCGTCATAGGCAGACACTCTTCCTTCCGGTTCAGACCTCCTGAGCATGAATATGACATCACATCCCCTTCTCATAAATTCACCATTGTCACTTCGTTCGAGGAAAATGGGTTGATGCTTCTCCAAAAATTTTTCGCAAGGGCCCATGTGCGCTGGGCGTCATTACTCAAACAAAAAAGCAGTATATTCGTGCACAGGGCCAAGCTACTCGGATGAGAATTCCATTTCTACGTGTAGGCAGAAATTCGAGAAAAACCTAAAAATTTTAGGCCACTAGGTAAACCATTCAAAGCAAGTTCACTTTGATCTCGAATGAAATCGTATGAATCGAAATCAGTGCCTGTATGGTTTGAGGCAGACCACAGTAGCAACAGCATCCAAACCTGGGCCCCATGCAGCTGCATAGTGTACTGCACTCATCTCGTACCTAAAAATTCTGAACTTTCTTTTGCAATAACTGCTGTTTAACGCAGCACCGAAAGAGTATAAGGAGTTGCTCAGTATGAGCAAAAGTCTCGACACCAATGCTGTTAGACTGTGGCCCAAAAGTCATTGAGCTGACCATGAGAGGTTAAAAACAGCCCGCAACAGCTGCTGGTTTGAATCTCGGCTGGGGCCAAGACGTTTGCCATAATTCAGCATTCTTATGACTTGTTATTGACAATCTATTAACAACATCTGAAGGTCGTAGCCACGCCACTTCTGCTGCGGCGCTCACTATGAATTTCGGGTCGTGGTACGAGTAGACATAAAGTATATGTCTCGGCGTTGAAGGGGGCAGGTCCAGGAAATGGTTGTGAGAACGGCGGCGTCGGATCTAGCCCGGTCCAGGCGGAGAGGTGGACAACGCGTGTATAAGAAAACAGAATGTTCATGAAGGCGTCGATGCAGACCGCTCGCCCTTTTCTGCTACCTTCGTCCACAACCGCGCATTTAACCAAGTCCGTGGACATTCCCCTTCTTGAAAAATGGTATGAGCTGTGTTTTAATATGCTTGTGCCTTACGAGGTTGATAGGTGGAACAATTTATTCAATATGGCCTAACGTTTCGACTGAATCGTCGTCATCAGAGGCCTGAATGTGTTTCAAGGATTAGATTGCGCTCTACCCCACCAAGCGCCTCGTCAACTCTAGCGGTTCCGACATCGTGTCAGGAACCCCTCGAGAAACCCCCATCATCGCGAAAGTCAACTCACCGACGGTTCCACCTTATGAGCGGCAGTGTCCGCTGCCACACAAGAGCGATAGTTAGTTGTAAATGAGGAATACTGCGCTGTCTCCGTATAATAAAATATTGCGGAGACGCACGTAGCGCTCTGTCATTCTACAGCTCGCAGTGTGGTATAAACGGCAGAAGGTCATTTGTTATTGCAGGACACTCATCTCGGCTGTTCATTCTGGGTTTTCTGGTGAAAATCCAGAACGCTTCTAATGCTTTTCTTGCAGAAATTTCCGTCTCATGTGCCAGCAATACGCACTTTATTTCGAACTCCACGCCATTATGTTGCTCAACTTTATGCCTTCCGAGGGCTGTTGTTAGGGTACCGCGTCTCATACTAGCAAGATGTTCTTTGATGCGAACTGCCAAGACCCTTCCTGTTTCCCCAATATAAGTAGAGTTACATGCCTGGCACTGGATTTCATATATGACTCCCACTTGCATGCAGTCGCCAAGCTTCCCGTGCGGGCATGTAACGCAATTTTCAGATAAGCACTGCTTGTCGTAGAGTCTGTTGCGAACCAGTTGCCGTTTGATGTTCTCGTTAGGTATATTCACCAACTGCACATCGTCCTGCAACTGTGCTCTTACTATACTCCGTTGGATTGCAGAGCTCACCTTTTCAGGAATGAAGGGAATGCATAAGGGTAGCTTATTTTGACGCGCTACCTCTCGTGGGCCGTTGCGCTGCCTCGCTCGATGAGATGGTGCCGTATAACCATTCATAACGGCGGTAGCTAGCTGTCGTGATTCTTCTCGCTCAGCATCGCCCGTGCACATTCCAGTTGCCGTTCTAAACATGTTGCGAACAACAGCGCGTTTCACGGCTGTCGGATGTGCCGATGTGGCGTGAATCAAGATATTTTTAGAGCTACTTTTACCTAGGTCCTCGCTGTTTGCTTCATGGGTAGAATAGAGCAACCGGTGCTAGAACGCCTACCTTTAATGTACTCTAGATATATAGATGACTGTTTCATAATAACATCAACACAATCCGAAATGGATGAGTGTTTCCGGCTTATGAATGAGCAGTCAGAGTACATTAAACTGACACGGGAAACCCCGCAAGACGGTTGGCTACCCTATCTAAACACGCAAGTTAATACAGGGGGGCCAAAAAAAAGTCATTTCGGCCGAGCCACATATCAACGAAGTTTTCGCAGCCCAGACAGGGGAAGTGGATATGAGTACCAGAGTGGAAGATACCCAAGATCTTCCTCTATAAGCTGGAGCAGGCTGCCGCCAATCGCCTTCATGTACGCCAAAATATGAAGTCATCTCCAGTCGCGGCCTGACTGGAGAACACCTTTGGAATTCACGTCGCCTCCAAACAGCTGCGAAACTTCTTGAATGAAGTCATCCACAGATAGCTACCTGGAGGTCAGTACTCTTGATCTGCAAGACCTCCCACATCGAGCAGCTACGGCAACGTCGCTACGGTCTAGGACATCATCTTCACCGTATTCGCCGAGGCGCGAGTTGATGGTATGGACCGGGGTACCTGGAAAGGGGAAGACCGATATTTTCTTTGTAGACCCCGACTGAAAGGTGAGCGCTGGCGGTTACATCAAGTAACTCGAGAAGAATATCCTCCCTACATGTGGTCGCCCGTACCTTCTTGGAGACCTTGTGCTGCTACAGGTTTGGGTGCCACCACATGGAATCAAAGGGTTTTGGAAAAACTCCCGCCTACTTCGAATGGAAGGGCGTTTCGTACCTGAAGAAGATGTAATATTGAAGTATGTCCCCTGACCTGAACCCACTCAATTACCTAGTTCGGGCGGACTTCAAGAGGGTGGTCTACGGTGGCGGAGAAATCGACTACCCGCTGATCTCAGGTACCACATCGCGGTCGCGTGCCAGAATCTCTCGATGGCGCTCCTCCAGAAGGCTGTGGCGGAGTATTATAGTATTTAATGTGCTCTTTAATATGGTAGTAAAAATGTCCGATAAAAATTTAATAAAGTGTAACTTATAGCGCCTTGAAAGTCATGGAGGCAAAATGACTTTTTTTTGGCCCCCCCCCCCCCCTGTATATATCAGATGGCCATCCGCTCCAGAGCAAAATGGTACCGCTTAAAAGTAACACGAGGCGATTGCTGAGCGAGAAGAATACGACACAGGTATAGCTACCAAAATTAGCTGTTATGAACGGTTATGCGGCACCATCTCATCGAGCGAGCCACGCAACGGCCCACGAGAGGTAGCGCGTCAAAATAAGCTACCCTTATGCATTCCCTTCATTCCTGAAAAGGTGAGCTCTGCAATCCAACGGAGTATAGTAAGAGCACAGTTGCAGGACGATGTGCAGTTGGTGAATATACCTAACGAGAACATCAAACGGCAACCGGTTTGCAACAGACTCTACGACAAGCAGTGCTTATCTGAAAATTGCGTTACATGCCCGCACGGGAAGCTTGGCGACTGCATGCAAGTGGGAGTCATATATGAAATCCAGTGCCAGGCATGTAACTCTACTTATATTGGGGAAACAGGAAGGGTCTTGGCAGTTCGCATCAAAGAACATCTTGCTAGTATGAGACGCGGTACCCTAACAACAGCCCTCGGAAGGCATAAAGTTGAGCAACATAATGGCGTGGAGTTCGAAATAAAGTGCGTATTGCTGGCACATGAGACGGAAATTTCTGCAAGAAAAGCATTAGAAGCGTTCTGGTATTTTCACCAGAAAACCCAGAATGAACAGCGAGATGAGTGTCCTGCAATAACAAATGACCCCTGCACATTTATAGCTCCCACCTGCGAGGCTGTTAGAATGACCAGAGGCTCCATAGCGTGTGTCTCCGCAATATATTATTTCATACGTCGCAGCAGCAGCAAACGCAGCTATTCCCATGCTGTATCAACTAACTATCGCCTTGCAGTGCGCGAGTAACGCACCGGACACGTGCCCGAGGCCGAGAAGCTCATACAGGTCCGCAGCCCCCGCAACCGTCGGGTGAGTTGGTCGTCTTCGCACATGATGGGAAGTTTATATGAGAACGCCCTTAGAGTTGACAGGGCGCTTGTATGGACAAGGTGAGTCGGGCAATCAACGCGGTTGCAATAGACCCACTACACTCAGTGACACTCACGCATCTGATGACGACGATTCATGCTGGCGCAAAGTTTCATCAGGGCCATATATGAATAAATTGTTCGCACCTGCCAAGCCTCCGCAGTTCAAGAATATTAAAACACTATACTAACCTGCGCGAGGTTGCGAAGAAGAGAGTAAGCTGAAGAGAATTCTTACTGCGAACGGTATGAGACTGGATTTTTAGCGAATATTAACACTGTTGGTGGATCTTTAGAACTGTGTTTTTCGCAAACCAACCATTCTGAGTCTTCAGAAGTTGTTCCACCCCACGAGTTGTCGACAAATAGGATCGAGATGAACAATGGCGTGTAAGTGAGTACTGGGACCAGTGCCTGAAAGAAGACCATAATTTATTTTCTTGCCCTGTTGTCTCTGAGACCGATTTTTTTTGCTCAGGAAATTGTACCGGTATCAGCACAATGGTGAACTCTGCAAAAGGTCTTACCTGGATACATATAGTGGCCAAAATGCTCTTTTGTCGCTGCATTACTTGTTTGCTGATCGCGGAACGCATATTGTTCCCTTTACTTTTCAGTAGGAACAAGTAGAGCTTCACTACGCAATACTGAAACTAGTTTTAGCGTTGAATCGCCGGCCACTAGTGTATTTACATTCAACAAGCGCTTATAAATGCCCCAATGCGAATCGACAAGGTCACTCAGCGAAAGTTAAAATGGAAGAGGAAGTAATGAAGTGCTTAGCTTCCTGTTCTTAGGAGAGGTCCATCCACTACCTGCGTACATTTCTCCAGCTGGCGAAACAAAATGAAAATATGCCATCGGCCTGAAATATGCATCGCCTTGCCTAGTGTATGGCGCATCCCAACATGAGGAATGAACGCCATTACGTTCTCCACTCGCCCTTCTAACTGCAGTTTGATGCCGGTAAATTTGCCGGAAAATCTCTTTTTTTCCAGCTAGTTCCACTCTAACGACCACCTCAGTAGCCAACAGTTGAACGTGAAAATCAAAAAGTGGAGTGCGACTAAATCCTCAGCTGAAATAAACCAAAGCGAACTGTAGTGTGAAGAATTGATCATAGCATGTGAGTGAGTCCGTCATTCTCTTTTTCTACCGTTTGGATAAAATTCGGAGACAGTGTAGCTTTAAAGGGCGTCACTTATCACGTGCGGAGTAAATTTCGTATTGGTTTGCACCCAGGCCAAGCAAGCCTCAGGGGTCTGCAGATGGTACCAGTCCCGTTACTGAGGACAATTTTGCTGACTTTCACATTGGCTGACCCCTGTAAGTAAGTGTAGAGGTCAAATAGCATTTAGGAGCCGCAATGGTCTTCAGAGGAAGTACACTGCACATTCCACTGAAGAGTCATTGCCAGATGAAGTGGGCATAGCTGCGTACTTCACTTGATACATTTCGTAGGATGCGTAGTTCGAGGGATATTTCTATGTGATACAAGTGTTCTTCTATCTCGTACTGGACAAAGTCATATTTGCAACTGTTCTGTGACTGCAATATCCCTTCAAAGAGCAGCTGCCCCTACAGTTCAATGAAGTACGCAGTCAATATCTCCCCGTCTCTGGGATAGTTTAGAAGGCGGCCGATGAGCGCTGAAAGCTTTCTCCCCCTTCTTTTTTTTGCAAATTCGGCATGTTAGCGGTGAGTGCTCCGGGTGGAATATGCCTTGCAAGGCTACTAGGTGGGACACTTACTACAACAGCCTCGCATTTCGGCTTAACCGTCGTCCTCGTAGGCCGACGGTTTCACCGTTCAAGCAATTCAGCGGAACGTTGATCCGTTGTAATGAATGCCCACCTAACCACCTCGTAAGGCACAAGAACAATGGAAGCCCAGAGACTTATCACTATCACATCACTCATCCACCAAGTTTTTGAGGCCTACAAACCGCTGCGTGCCACTTTTCTCACGCGTAGGAGGATAGTGCGTGCGCATGGTCTCACATCAAGACACAACCGTACTGCGCCGAATAAATGCCTAAAGCATTTTGAGGTTGTAATGAAAGGCTCACTCTATGACGTTTCCTTTCGATTCTCATCTGCTGGAAATTCGAGTGCGTTGATAATTGATTTGTCCATTTTTACGTAAAAAACTTACGATGGTGATCGAATACGACGCTGTTGGACAGAAGACCAGGAACGCAGTCGAGAAAATGTCGCCAGGTTTACCGTAGTTGCATTTCATCGTACAGTAATTGTCGTTGATATATTGGTTCTTTGACCTGTTGTTAGGTTGATATACCGAGTATTCAAGTAGATAATATTGCAATGAGTCAATATGCAGAGTATTCAAGTAAATATATGTTATAATGATGTAATATGATCATATTACTATTATAATCCGCCACGTCGACTGAACCATTGCGATGTCCCCCTCTCATCTATGTGGAAAGTGCCGTAATAGTGACATTTCCTAAGTATTTCTGCTTTTTGCTTTTTCTGCTTTTCGACAGTTTCTCTCAGGATGTAGAACTTCTGCACTTCATATGTCAAGTAATGGTTCGCATAACAAGCGCATAGGCTCTGTCTCCTTACGCCCGAACGAAAAATGGTGGTTCACAATTAGTACTCCTATTTTCATTTTCATACGGAATTTTTTCGCTGAGCAATTTCTTTGCATTCTTGCTTGTAGGGCAATCCCCCGCATGCAGCAAAACTCATTGGAAACCCCTGTTTAAGCCAGCGTGCTATCAGCTTTTGAAGTGTATCCTACCTAGCTGACAGCAGCTGCAGCATTGTCACCTTGAATAAAGTCCTGGTGCGAATGCCGTGCAAGTGACATCATCGGCATCAAACCTTTCGCTGAGACCTGGATGAGGTGAGTTGTCTGATGTCTGGACTTGTGGCTCAATGAGCAAATCACGGGTTAATCAGAAACCAGGTAAAGCGAGCCAACGCTGATTTCTACGTGAACCAGATCCGGCGATCGTCTAGGTGTATCGTAATCGAACGCTACTACGGTTTTGAGAGAAAAGCTTGTACACGGCCATCCCGCGAGAGGCTGAACCTCAAAAGGCCCAAATAGTCCTTACACATGCTTTCATACTTTTTGTTTCTGTTTGTTGGAATAATGTGTTACAATCCTTACATTCTATAAAGCAGAAACTTTGTGTGTCGGTTTGTCGGTATGTATGTATGTATGTATGTCGGTTTGTATGTCTGTCCGTCCGCAAAATGCTTTACGGGATTAAACACGTTAGTGAAAGAAGAAAACGACCGCTAGCCAAACCGGGAACCCATCGGTGCAGATGTATCAATCCAATGTTTTGATTGTGATAACAGCATATATAAGACAACCACTCGGTACACTCCGAGCCATTGCACGAGCTGCTGCCGTGGCAGCTGGACGTGTGCTCGTGCGGGGGCAGGGTGGGGGTGCCAGGTCGCCCTGCCTCCTTCTCCTGCATGTGCTCAGCCGGAGCTGAGCACATGTATTGGAGGGAGGCAGAGGGAAGGGGTCGCGGGGAGGGGGGTACAGTGAGGGGTGCGTAGCGCGCGTTTCAGTAGAAACGCGCACCAAGGGATGAGGAACCGCTAACAAAACTGCAAGCCAATCTATGTTACCGTAACGAACTAAGAAGTTGTTTTGGTTGTGATAACACTCTCCACTATATAAGAAAACCACTACACTCCGAGCCATTGCACGGGTTGCTCGCGTGGCAGTTGGACGTAAGCGCGTGCAAGGGGCAAGGTGGGGGGGGTGGAGTGGCGAGTACGGAATGGGGTGAGGTGAGGAAGGTGGGAGTTAGTATCGAGTGACCCCCTTCTCCCATCCTCACTCCCTTGCGCGTACTCAGTCGGATCTGAGCCCATGCAGGGGAAGGAGGCATATGGATTGAATCGGGCAAACTGGGTACAGTAAGGACGCTTGGATAGGAGCAGGCGGCAAGACAGAAGGAAAGAACCGCTAGCAAAACTGCAAGCTAATCCATGTTACAGCAACGAACTAGGAAGCTGTTTGGATTGTGAATAGCTCCCCTATCTAAGCCAACCACTGTGATAGACTCTGTGCTATTGCAGGAGCTGCTCGCTTGGAATTTATTACTCGGTCAATCAGTTGAACAATTAGTTATTCATTAAGTGGTCATAATCATCATCACTCTCTTACCAATTTCAAAATAGTTGTCAAAAGGTTCACAAAAATTCACTAGTTTCTTTTTTCAATTTTTGTATTATCAAGATAGCGATATTGCTAATAATAATTTTATACTCTGATATCCTTACTGGTTTGGTTATTGGCAATATATGCAGACGCTTCTTTAAACATCAACGCTCAAACCCCAGAGAAGTAAATTAGATGCCTGTTGAAAAAAGTGTAAGCCAATGATGTATATGTGTAATAGCTTGAAGAAGCTCAAAGCTTGTGATAGTTATGACCAAAAAAGAGGTGTTTCATGACAGATTGAACTTGGTTCAAGCGATTCCAAGCGATTAAGAGGTGGGAATTCGGACCCTGTGAAAGAGCATTGCGTGGGGGGCCTTCTTGGGGAGGGACTGCCTGCAGAACCTACCCACTTATTTTCGAACGTCTAACATCAACTGAGTGGTGGTTGATAATGATAAGGAAGCATTCTATGACCTCTAACGATCCCTCATCTTTGGCATGATTCTCAGTTAAAAAAGTGATTCCGTAAGGACTCACTTTCAACTGAGAATCACGCCAAAGACTGAGGATCACTTGGACAGAATAGGGCACTAGGTTCGATGCTTGTCTGTGAAGTCAGAACTGAAATCTTCGAACCACTTAAAGTATTATTAGCATTCCTAAGAGACATAGCCTTATAGCCATATACTTAGCAGCTGATTAGAGAATTAAAAGAGAGGCTGTCGAAAATGCTCAATTTCGTCGACCTTACACTTCAGCGTGAGCATTCAAATATTAGTGGAAAGAGGAACAAAGAAACTAAGAAAATCATCGTGTAGGGCAAGAAATTCTCTGCAAAACGGTGGAAAACTCCATGGCAAAACTTTTCTTCTTCAGCGCGATATTTTGAGTGGGGAAAAACGCTATTACTGGGCCGATCCAATAACATACTTGTCCATATTGCAGAATATGGAGAAGCAGAGTCAAGCCAGTGATAAACACCATTCCTTGATGCATAACTGCTCATATCACCGGTCAACCCTCTTCAGGTAATAGGCAAGTATTTTGCTTCTTCAGACCAACGAGGGACCACAACGGAAACAATAAGAGGAAGATGGCTCCCGCATGCTGAAGTAAATGTGATTACCGGCAAAACTTTTATTTACACTCGAAATTCGCCATTTTCCCCACTAGACAGCGCGCTGCTAGCATTTTGGGCTGTGTACCAAATTATCGTGCCAACTGCCTTTAAGATGTGGCAGGCGTGGCTAGGCACTTCAGCTCAACTAGCGGTGGCTGTGCTTTTGGAGGGATATTTCATTTTGACACGACTGCGGTCATGCCTCCGTTCAACACTGAACAAAACAGTTGTCCCAACTTGAACTATTCCAAGAGTGACCCAGTTAGGCCATGTTTGAATGCCACGCCTGCTCCGTCTCAGAGATAAGGAGTGTAGGCGCTATTGGCAGGGAATGGGAAAGGACGTGACAGTCCCCCGTAGCACCTGAGCTGCAACTCATGTATGCTTAGGGAAGTTATCGTCCTGCACGGAAATGTGATAGCGGAAGCGAAGGAAGTGTGAGCGGAATGTAAGGGAAACGAGAAAGGCGTTTCTTTTTCCTTTCCATCAGCGCAAGCGCTAAACTACTTTCGCACGAAGTGACGTGCTAGTGACACTTTGAACCTTCAATCGTCACTGGCTGGCGATCCCCGTACCATAACAATCATCCAGGACCGTGCCACCCAAGGATCCCAAAGAGGTCAACGATCAATTTGACTTATGAGCATGAACCAGGAAACTCAAATTGTAAACCGCAACGACGATGTCCTACCGATTGAATGGCTGTCGTTCCACAGTGATCGATAGCTTCCTACTAATATAATCGGCTATGTCCGTGTGTGTGTGTGTGTGTGTGTGTGTGTGCGTCTGTCTGTCTGTCACGAAATTCATAGCACCTGAAGAAGAGCCTTGGCGGGGTCGGGTCAGGGTGGGGATGGATAGAGCGTGGGACAAAAACTAAATAGCACCCATGACCCATGGTAAGCCCCGCCCACAGTGGGCGGGGCGTGCGTCCAAATTTAGTTTAGTCGCTGAAAAGTCATAACTCGGTTCCAGAGCAAGTCCTGAGATGAGAAACAGCCGTGTAAAGTAAACAGAGGCCTGACCGACCAAACAGAGGAGATACACTTGAAATGGGCGGGGCGTACTCGAGATGGGCGGCGCTTCCCGTGTCACTGAAAAATCCCCATAACTTGGCTACAAGGGGGGCGTACTTGAGATGGGCGGCGCTTCCCATAAAGGTCGGTAACTCGTCGGTCTTTCCCGAAAATGTTTAGGGATCGCAGAAAAGTCCATGACGAAGATTAACGTCTGGCAAGAGTCCACCATGTTTACAGCGTGGTGAGGCCCACCTACAGTGGGGAGGGCGTCCCACTTGAGCACGAGGAACAGTATAAAAAGTCGTAGTTTGGTCCCAAAGCACTGCAGAAGGTGCCAAAATGTGGATTATGGTCCCCAAGTGATCAAATGTAAGGATGTACGAGGCACTCCCGTTGTGGGCGGAGCCTGCACCGAGGTGGGTGGAGCCAAATTTAAAAAATTCGCAAAACGGTTCCAGAGCACTCCAGACACCGGGGAAAAAGTAGTTTAAGATCAGCGAGGGTTATTAGTTGAGAAGCGCGAGGCATACGTTGTGGGCGGGGCGTGCCCCGAGGTGGGTGGAGCCAAATTTAAAAAATTCGCAAAACGGTTCCAGAGCACTCCAGACACCGGGAAAAAGTAGTTTAAGATCAGCGAGGGGTTATTAGTTGAGAAGCGCGGGGCATACGTTGTGGGCGGGGCGTGCCCCGAGGTGGGTGGAGCCAAATTTAAAAATTCGCAAAACGGTTCCAGAGCACTCCAGACACCGGGAAAAAGTAGTTTAAGATCAGCGAGGGGTTATTAGTTGAGAAGCGCGAGGCATACGTTGTGGGCGGAGCGTGCGTTGAGGAGAGCGGGGCCAGTGTTAGAAATTCCTCAAGCGGTTCCAGAGCACTCCAGGCACTCCAGACCTCCTCTGTGATACAGCCCGGCCTTGCGGGGCGTGGCTCCGTCGCGCCTACTGCATTCGTAGGTCAAATGCTGGACTAATACCCGGCTTTCCTCTCATCTGTCCACTTGATCAACGCTCCTTTCCACCATTTCATGCACCGTAATAGTGTTGAAAATAGCAGGTATGGTATGAAATAATGTTGATCATTCGTTCAAATGAAACAAAAGCCGAATACTAGGCTAGTATTGAAATGTGTGGAAAATGATAAGCGGGTGGAGCCGCGGAGCTTCTACGTCCAAATAGCTACGTCCGTATTGAGGGGACGTCACTTCTCAGGACGGTCGCCAGGTTTCTTCAACTCTCTGACAATTCGATCACGCTCAGAGCAGGCCCTCAACTCCACCGCTCCCTATACCGGGTAAATCACTTTTTCATTTTGAGAGAATCCGTTATTTTGAAAAAAGGTTCTGACGCACGTTGAACAAACTATTCTATAAAAAAACCAAACTAGATTCTGAATGTTTCTAATGTTTGAATGTTTCTAAATGCTCTTCTGGGGAGGTCAAAAAATGGGTGAAAAGTTTGCTGGGGAAAAGCGATTTTGAACCATTTTTCTAGGCTTTTTTTCTATCTCTAATGTTGAGTATGCACAGCAAATGAGACCTTCGTCGACACTGCATCGAAAACAATACAAGTCAAGGTGAAAAAGTACTTTATTTGGCACACAGTGAGGCAGCATTGTAGTTTCTCAAGTGATTCTCGCAGCATCCCAACCCGCAGTTAGGGGGGGGGTATTCAGAGCCATGTTGGCGCCAAATGACCTAGGCGCCAGTTATAAAGGGCCGTCAATAACCTCTATATACAGACTTTCAGCGAAAATTTTCTCCTCGAGCTGAGCGCTTAACAGCCCATGCGTGCGGGTTGACAACAATTCAGTGCAAGAATGCTCTTGCAGCAAATCGGCGATAGGCTGCGCCGTGGTCAAAAATGAGTGTCGTACTCGTGAGTAGGGTATCCAGTCATCCCCGGAGCCCAACTTTCAGCAAGAGTTTCCTCAGTAATGTTTCGAGAGCGCAATAGTTAAGTAGGGTCGACTCGTGAAGTTTGAGTGTACAGAATGAGCTCTTAAATGGCATATATCCATGTTATATACATCACCACGCACGCAGGAACACAAGGAGACAGAAATCCGAAAAACGCATAAAGTATCCGAAAAATGCAAAAAATCCGGCGCCAAGAGGATCCGATCCGCAAACCTTCTCCGTAAGAGCCGACCGCACTATCCACTCCGCCATCCGCCGACCACGAAACACTGGTTGCGGGAGTCGTTGAAGTAACTTCGGTACTACTTTTCTCCATGCACTTTCTTTTTGACTTTATTTTGCTCTCTTTTCGATACATAGTGAAGGAACACCTCATAAACTATGCACTCTCAAAGTTACAGCTACAACAGAGCCCAATAAGACGGTTAAAATCGCCCTTTCTTGTCAAATTGTTTTCACTCAGTTTTTGACCTCCCCAGAAACGCATAGCAAAAATGAAACCCATTTTTGTAATCCTTGTATGGACCCCTACAACAAGCAACAAACCATTTTTAAAAAGCGCGCCACGACCTGAGAGACCTCCCTTCGTGAGTGTTTTTGCATATATTATGACTTTGTGGAAGCTTTCAGATCTTGAAAGTCCTTCAAGGTCAAGGTACTTTTCGACCGATTCCATGCTATGGGCTCGTACAGGGATACTTTGTCATATAAGGTAGCTAACACATTTGTTTTCGCCAGAAATGATGTTGCTTGCAACGAAACGATGGCCTCTTTCATTTTGAGTAACGGTTAAACAGATAGGTTGGAGCAAGGAAAGGTTGAGATTCGGCGCTGATAAGTATTTGTCAAATCCGTCAAGCACTCAGCTTCCATTATGTATCCCTCAAACACCCAGACTCTACCAGTAAATACTGACACTGATTTCTACGACTATGTGCACAGGCGAAGCTGAACGTCAAGAATCACGTCGCCTAGCTTGTGAGATAGCTGCTATGAACGGTTATACGGTACCACAACGCACTGGAAGACAGCGCTCTAATATGCGAGAAGGCCCGCGTCCAAACAAACTACCGCTATGCCTTCCTTTTATCTCCGATACGATAAGCACTGCAATACAACGAAGCATTGTTAGGGCACAGTTGCAAGATGTTGTTCAGTTGGTTAACATCCCCAGCTGCAACATCAAGCAGCAACTGGTTCGAAACAGGCTGTACGATAAACAGTGCATATCTAGAGATTGTGTTATTTGTCCACACGGCAGACTCGGTGATTGCGCTAAATCGGGTGTGATCTACCAAATAGAATGTCTGGCGTGTGGACGCACATATATCGGAGAGACTGGAAGGCCGCTAGGTGTACGAATAAACGAGCACCTAGCTGGTATGAGACGTGATAGGCTCACGACAGCGCTTGGCAGGCATAAATCTGAGGAGCATGACAGGGACAATTTCGAAATCAAGTGTACAATATTGGCGAAGGAGAGATTTCAGTCAGAAATCCTAGGATGAACAGCCGAGATTAGTGTCCGTCAGTAACAAATGACCTTCTGCCATTCATACCGTATTGCGAGCTCCAAGTAGCAGCGCTACGTGCGTCTCCTCACTTCGACGTGAAAGGAGACGCTATATCAAGTCTCTCTCTACTGACTAGCAGCCGCATGTGACTGCGGATATACGGTGGAAGCTTGGTGAGTGCACTCTTGTGTGGGCTTTCAGGTTGAGTTCCGAACACGCCATCGGAACTGCTAGGGTTGGTTGGGCGCTTAGTAAGGTAGTGTTCATTTCCTAACCTCGAAACGCGTTTAGGCCTCTGAAGAAGACGACCAAGTCGAAACGTTAGGCCAAAAAAAAGATTTCTACCTAAAGACCTCGAGTGGCGTAGCAATTTAAACCGAATACACAGGCATTTAGGGTGAGCTTGAGCGGGGTATTGGTGGCTAGTTTTTTTGAATTCCATAAACTATTATACTTGTGGCCCTTGGGCTATGGGGAAAGCTTGGCAGGTTCAAGTGGGATGCAATCTTCACTTGATGATGCGGTCCCAGTTTCCTTGACTGACTTCACTCACGATCAGTGATTGACTACTCGTTGAATAAATTTGTAATGTCAAGCATTTTACGTTATTTTGCTTATTTTTAGGTACCTCTCTTCAGAAGGATCAAACTCACTGTGCTACTTTTCCTTATCCAACGATGGAACCAGGATACTACCAGTGTTCAATGGAAAGTTCGCTCTTTTTCTAGCAGTTAAATAACTTCATAGCTGATCTGCTCCACTTCGTTTGTGCAGGGAACGCTCTGGTTACAACCGCTCGCTAAGGGATACCTGGTGGCTTCATAACATGAAACTGCTCATTGTGTATTTTAGCGGTATTTTTGGCAGCCCTTTACAGGGGGGATTAGGCTCCCATATATTCCTACAGAAGAGAACAAGCTCCTGTTTGTCCGAATCTGGAGTAAGGGTGTGACTCTTCGCGATGTCCCTCCCCCACATTCGAAACCACAGGAACATGCCAGTAGATAATTTGACTTATTTATAGTGATGCAAAAATAATTCTAATGAATAATTATAACGGCATAATCAATATTATGATACAATTAATACAAGTAACTATGAATTATATATGGTAATTAATATAAATAATATAACAAAATAGTTAATATAAGTTGTGACGCATTTATCAAAGTTATCAGGTAACAACTCATTATTCTTTCTTTCCCTTACTGACGAGCACAGGAGGAAGATAAGTAACTTGTTTGGTTTTCATCTAAGGGCACGTGCAAATCAAACTACTTCCTTGTTGACCCCATATATAATAACTGACAGCTAGCTGAAAAGCTAATTTAATGCAGTTTATGTTGCACGCATTACCTTGCACTTCACTTTATTAAAAAATCATATGTCTTGTACCGAGTAAATATAAGCAAACCACCACGTGAGAGTTCAAAAATGAGAAAATTCCTTTGATAAATTTTTTTAACGATTTCCACCTTTTTTTGGTACTTTCCTGATTTTTTTGCTTTGGCTGGTTCTTATATTACGAAGACATTTTTTCGCAGAATTTGTGGTTTTCCAAGGTCACATTTCCACCTGTTGCGTTAATGTTACCACCCAATAGGAATTATTTTGATCTGGTCAATTTGAATATTTGCAACAGGCACAATGCGAATTAAACATACGATTTAATTGCTAATCGTGGAAATGCATACACTTCGCTGCTGTTTGTCACACCCAACGAACTGCCAATCATGCCAATCAGCAGCGGTAGAATATTGGGAATGATGGCTGAAATTGGCAGTAAAGTCTAAACCTCTTCAAACTTGTTAGGAACTTCAAGCTTCGTAACCGAACTCACCAACCAGGACCCAGACCTTGGCGTTTGATGGAGCTATGTTCTTCCAGCATACTGTAATTACCCTACTCAAAGGTACTATGCAGATCGAGAGCACGACTGCCTCCCATTGACGGAAGTAGAAGAAATCGTATAGAGGTTCACACCATACTGTAAAAGAGTGAGCGAGAACTGGAGAGATCTGGCTTCACTTCATATGAAAATGATTTCTCAGAAGCATCCATCCTTCAAAATGAAGCCTAAAAAGCCCGCAATAAAGTAAAAGAAAGACTAAAGACTGGTAACCTCCAGGTGAACGTGATTGCCCGTTGTTCAGACCATAATTTATAGAATCACTGAGCATGGGTGACTCAGCAAAATGAAAGTAAAAGTAATGAGTTGGTATGAGCAGGCGCCAGAGGAGTTTTTTCTTCCCTAATGTCGGATGAGGGAGTCCATTGGATCCTTCGGACTCAAGGGCGAAGGACTTTCCTTCGTGTAGGTGCATTTTAGATGAACGTGGTCCTGATTCTCGTAAAATTTCGGTGAATCATTTGAGTTACCACTGTTGTTCGGCAGTCGCCAGAGAGTGAAGCAACGTGCCCGCCAGACATTGATTCCTTAGCAGATACGGTACCGTCCCTGGTCTTCAATCATTGACGGAGTTCGGAGCTTTGGACTCCCTTTTTCATTTGCTTGTAGGGAGATTCTTCACCCATCGTGCTCTCAACAGTTCATTGGATAACGTTCACCGCATGCGGAAAGTGCGGTCCACTTGGCGTGATGTTTGGGGAGGTATATGTAGGTGTACTGAGGAGTGAAATCACTCCGCAACTCCTCTTAGTTGTCTTTGGCGTGAGTTGTCTTTCATACATTATTGGAGGTTCAAGCGCAAGTCTGATATATTATAGAATTATCGGGAGTTCAGGCACAAGTCTGATATGTTACAGAGTGGTAAATGATAACATGGCACTCTTCATTACTCTGGCAGGAAAAAAAACAAACGCGACTACAAACAAAGAAACTTGTAGTAGATTAACATATCATCTGGCTGACCAAACTATTACCCTTCCCACAACCCATCACAGTAAAATCGGCTCTGAATTTGCTTCATTAACTGAATCCTATGTTTCTCTCCCCTTGCACACTTTGCCATATATTATGCCATATCGAGGATCACTACACTCTCGCATCCGCAGCATGCTCATCTAGTCTCGCAGGGGTCCATGTGTCTGAAGCGTAGACAGCCGTTAAAATGAGCCATCTAAGAGGTGTGAGCCGCTGAGCAGTGAGATGCTCTCCGTCTTCTTTACTCATCCATAATGATCCTCATCATGCCATCCGTTTCATTCTGCTTATGGTTAGCTCTTTAGCTACGTAGTTCGTCGCGTCAAGTTCCCCTCTGTGTAGGTGGGCAACGTCATTCAGCAGAGTAAAGCAAAATTCAGAGATGTTCGAGCGACAGTACGCGAGGATTGCGACATCAAACAGATATTGCCACACGACTGCTGCCGGCGGATCAAGGCGGTATTAAGCTCCTCGTTGTGACTACTGGGTCAAGAGGTACTTTCAGTATTCCCTGTGCTGTTCGAATGGGGCTGGTAAAACATCAGCACTTCTATAAATTAGAGCCTTTCGTCGCTAGTGCCTGCCTTACACTCGTCGTCGAAAGAATGAAAAGCGCTTGGGTACGAGCATCCTACAGTCAATTCGTCGATAAATTCAGAAGGGAACGCTAGCATAACTATCTTACTCGAATTCTTTCGTGCGCCCCAAAAGAGCATACTCCGCTGTACACCATGACGCGACCTCGTTTTTCGTCCTCGCGCCCATTTCAGCAGTTTCGGCTACCACCAGTTCCGATAATCTCGAGAGTAGAAGGGCATGTGCCGGGTAGATAAAAACTACACGCGAATACGCCATTTTTGAACTCACCTCTGGAACAATTAAATGTTCTGTTATTTATGGTTAGCAATATTCAATTAATTGTTGAATCATCCATGCGTAGCACACATACCGTCTGAGGGGCACGTCGACATTTGCTGATTCCCTTAGGCGCGGGCCCCGGGCGGTGTATCTTTGAAAAAAATGTTATTTATTAGTAGACGATTATTGATTTCTCATATACACCCCTCCCCTTTCCACCCTGCCCGCCCCCACGGTAATGTTTTTGTGGGGAACTGGAGAATGCATCCAGAAGAGGATAGGAAATTAGGGAGCGTTTAGAGAAATAGTTGGTAGTGGGGCCGTACCGTAGGACGATTTTCCAGGGGATCATATTTAGCTAGAACTCTCCTTAACGCTGGGACATGTTCTGAAACTGTGATCAGGGTACAGCATGGGGATGTGTCAAATGGCGGTGTGGTGAGTACACCCCCCCCCCCCCCCCCCCCTCCTGCTTTAACTGCAACCAGATGCGATGTCAGAACAAATGCTTCCTGAATGGAATTGGAGTTCTCGAAAGCGCAGCTCTGCTCTAGAAATATTGCAGCCTCATGCAATATGAAGGGCTGAACAACGAGCCATCCTTAACCTATCAACTTTTGTCTTTAAAGATCAAAAAATAATACTGCTCGTGTCGATTAACTATGTATCGACATGCAACTTGTAACAAGGAACACAATTGAAATAGCGGCTAATGGTGATCATTGATAGTAAAAAAAATAGCCCCAAGGTGAGCGTGTCAGGGCCCAGATGTGCATTCAATGAATGGTGGGGAAATAATGAAAACATGCACGACACAACAAAGCGAAACATGGAAAATACAAAAAATGCAGAGCTAAATGAAAAAAAGGATAACCAGGCCGGCAGTAAATCGTTCCATACTTGGGCCTTAGTAGGGCAATCAGGCTGGCAGGCCGCGAAGGCTGCGACCGCTGTCTTTGCGACAACAACACGTCATTGGAGCGCGCGGTTGGATTGCAACGTCCTGGCGGTCGTTCGGGGGTAGGAGGGGGATTTATATCTTTTTTAGGTGCGGAGCTTTTGAGGATGGTGAGCAGCATGCAACGGCAAAGTTTCTACTATTGTGTATTCTACCTAGCTGCAAACTGAACAATCCCCCGTTGGTGAAATATTCCGGATGGGTCACGGTTCGGCCAGGGGTAAATCGCGAGCTGGTTTTCATGATTCACACAAGGACTGCTTCGTTCAAACGCAATTTCATCAGGACTGAAGTCGTCTTGAAACCCCTCCATCTTTTCTCTTTCCAATAAGCTTTACAGTTTTTCTGAAGACCCACTAGTTCAGGATATTTTAGATGGGTCACAGATGCGCCACCCTCTGACCCACCCGAAAAATTGACTCCTTATGTGCCATTGTGAGGATACACCTTCGGAAACTTCAGTGTGCCTTCAAAACACATATTTCCCTTCAAATGAGTGAAAGAGAAGCTCGGCTATCTCTGATCGATTTGGTCCGCTGCCACCGTGCGCCGTGCATTAGGCTCCTACGCAGAGGTGGTGGAAAGGTGTAAATTCTGATTTCAGGTGCTTTTATCCATGCAAGCAGATGTTTGTTTAGGGTTTGTAAAGGACAACACGCACGAATCTGTTTGAGACGTATTATTTAGTCATCTACGTACTTACGAGTTCATGCTATAAACTGACACTTATTTATTTATTTATTCTTGCTATATTGCTAATAAATCTTTTATTATTTTGTATTCCTATTTACATCCGGGTCTTCTGAAGCTTTCCGTCCGTTCCATTACCCTTAGCAATGACACCTTTGTACTGTTTGATGCCTAGCGAGCCTACTTTTGCGATACTCCCCACGTCCCCCGCGGCCAAGTACGAACCCATTCTTGGGGATTTCCCATGAAAAGAGGGCTGTTAAACGTAGCATTTAAAGCTGTAAAGAATACACTCATAATAAACTTCATTTTTTTTTAAACATCTTGACTTCCATAGCTCCACTCCCACTATCAACTGAAATGTCGAACCATTGCTCGGCTCTGAGTGACCCTTGAGATTACGACCCCCCCCCCCTCTCCATCGGCCAGGTACGACCCCCCCCCCATGGGTTTGGCACAACGATGCTGTACCCTGACTGTGATATAAACATACAAAACATACACTCCTTATCCCCGACACGGAGTAGGCGTGGCATCTAAACGTGGCTTGAGATGACTTACTCGTGGGATGTTTTACTTTGGGACGATATTGTTTTGGGCAAAGGCATACTCACAACTGTCTCAAAATGAAATATTTCACCACAACCTTGGCCCCCACCACGTTTAACTCAACTACGCAGCCACGCCTGCTGCATCTCAGGGCGTTTGAGCGTAGAAGCTGGCCAACAGTTTTTATATGGGTTGCTCTGTGTGCCAAAATACGTCAGTGACCAAACGTTCACGGGTAGCGGTCCCCAGACCATTCTTTCGATGCTTTTTTATTTTCAGCATTTGCTGTTTGAACTACTGCCTGCTCGATGGTCAGACTTCACTGGACTTGGGGAGAGCTCTGAACGAATAGTATGAGGTTCGTAGTGCCCCCTCGAGCTCAGGGAGCCCACTGGGCAGCTCTAGCACGTTGCAGGAAGGCTGGAGGTAGCGCCCCCGCTCGATCAATTCGATGATCAGTGGGATCACAGGTCGTACAGGGATTACTGTTGGAAGATCAAGGTTTTAGCCAAAGCTAGGAAAGGAAGACCCCCAGATGGGTAACACTTTTAGTCTATGCGAAAGGGGTTCCGCATTTCAAGACATGTGGTTATCCCTTAGAAATTCTCCCTCTTCCATCTCCTAATAAGCGACATTTAGCATGAAGCAATTCATAAAGGGCGAAGGCGATCTTAAATTGAACTGGCGGTTTCATAAAGTTCCAGGTATCACTTCATAATTACTTACCTTATATACGGTCTAGTGCTAGCTAGTATTATGAATACGTTGAGCACAACAGCAAATGAGCAGACGACCAAGTAGTAGTAGAAACCAAAGTCAGGCATTGATCTGAAAAACCTGATTTGCCGAGGGATCTTATGTGCCTTTGTAGAAAGATGAAGGACTCGGAGAACAGCACGACTTGTGCCGACGAGTGCTATGCAGGGAACGAGCAATAGAGATCCGTTCATGGGCAACGATGTTGAAACGGAAACAAAGGGTGGAGCTTTAAGGCTACTGTAGCGACGACCATCATGTAAAATGTAAAAGTGAGAAATAATGGTGGGTCAACATAATAATGATTACGGTAA